CGCTTTGAATCGTGCTGTGTAACGTAGCACAATATCACCGCTTCGAGAACACCGGTGTCTAGCGCGAGGGCAGGGGAAGGGCGGAAACATCGAGTGGAGGGGTGGGTCAAGGGCAGGGAAAAATGATGGAGTACCTCAAAGTTTGATGCAAAAACGCATGATCGCACCGGCTCGCCTGGTGCGTCCCAGCCTGGGTTTTCTCCTTTTTTCCTTCTTTCCTTTTATCCTCCTCAAAGTTTGATGCAAAAACGCATGATCGCACCGGCTCGCCTGGTGCGTTCCAGCCTGGGTTTTACTATTATTGTTGTTTTCATTTCTCTTAGTACTTGTTATTATCATTATTATTATCATTATTGTTGTTGTTGTTGTTGTTGTTGTTGTCGTTGTTGTTGTTGTTGTTGTTGTTACTATTATTATCATTATCTTCATTAACATTAACATTCATTACAGGACACAGCAGGGCAGGAGCGTTTTCGAACACTTACACCAAGCTATTACAGAGGGGCACAAGGAGTGATATGTGGTAAGAAATCTGCTAATCTCGAGAACTGTTTTTTGTGCCTGCAGAAAAAAATGAGATCGGCCTGTCTTGCATTATCCGTTTACAGCTACAAGCTAGTTATGAGTTACTAAGCTCTTCAGTTGTTAATCCAGGATGTCTCCACCTTTTCTCTAGCAGTCAAAGATTGCAGCATTTTAAGCATTCATTTGTTGAGCGGTCGTTTTAAAGTGGTGCTTCTCTGCATTATTATCGATGTGCAATCTGCAGTCTTTTCTTGGTTTCTTTGAGCAAAAAATGAGATCTCTGTTCGCTTTTCGTCTTGTGGCAGAGTAAAGGGTCGTAATTTTTGTAGTGTACGATGTGTCGAATCGGCAAACTTTCGAACGGCTGGGACACTGGATGCATGAAGTGGACGTCTATTCAACCAAATCTGACGCCGTGAAAATGCTTGTTGGCAACAAAATTGATATTGTAAGAATTTCGGTAAAATTGACTAGTTGTTCACAGAATACGTTGGCCACTAACTGAATTGTTGCAGTCAAATCGAGAAGTGAGTCGTGAGGAGGGACTCGAATTTGCCAAGAAATATCGTATGTTGTTTATTGAGGCAAGTGCAAAAACTCGTGAAGGTGTACAGTGCGCATTCGAAGAACTCATTGAAAAGGTTTTCCCTTTTTTTCGTTTTGCTTTTTGGCATGTGCAACCGACAGGAAAAAATTTTAAATTCTGACTTTTTGTAAAAAAAAGTCAAAATGTCTTGCTCCATCACTCCTTTGTTGGAAAGCTATCACTCAAAAAAAAAAGGCTGTCGCTTATGAGCTACTAAAAAGCAATTGTTTAAAAGCTATCATCCAAAAAATTTTATTCATTTTCATACAGTCAGTGAGTTCACTTATCAGTAATTGGTAAATGATAGTAAGAGGGGTGACTGATCGCAAATATTCTTCAAAGAAATGGTACGATGAAATTTGCGGGTGCAAAGTGGCGGCAAGATCTCATTTGCAAAAATGCTTGGGCTTGACTACGTCTCAGTAACTTCGAATGTTTTTCGCGACAAGCCTTGTGTTCTCGTTGAACTCTAACTAATAAAATGAACTTTTAGTGACGGAGACTATCCCTTGTGATGTTATTGTTTTAGATCTTTTTCAAATGAACGAATCAGTTGTGTCTAACCAG